GCAGCAAACTGGGGGTCCCTCCCAAATACCTATTGCTGAGAGAAGCCTCCTCTTGAGGTGCTTCTGGAAAGTTGGCATACGTCTTGAGCCTAAGCCATGGAATCAGCTCTCACCTCGAAACGATTTGGGGTACACGGAACATTCCTCGAGTTGCTGTGCTGAAGTTCGTATTCCTCTAGACTTGGGACAGTGTTCTCGGGGCATCTCTCGAGTTGCCTGAAGGAAGTCAAGCCACTGGTGGTGTTTAATGGGGTACGGGGGATGGTTCTGGAGTCAATGCATGGGAATCGGGCCTCAACGCGTGTTGATGTGGGGTACTTGGAGCTGCTTTGCGTTGCTGGGGTGATGTCAGGGTCTGTCTTGACTTGTGACAGTGTTCCTGGGGACTCTCTCGAGATCCATTAAGCAATTCGAAGCTGCTGACTTGCTTGATTGGGATCACGGGAATGCTCTGCATGGACTGCAGGGAATCAGGCCTCATCTCGCATCTAGGGGAAGTCTCATGGTTTTTCTGGAGTTGCGGCGGGACCTGGGGTAAGTTCTCGAGTTATGGCGGGCATGGCCCTTGAAAACACGTGTTTATTCAGTGACGTCATGACTCCTGCCTAGTAATGAGGGACACCTCAGGAATCTCTTCGAGCCTTGGCAGGGCAAAAGGGATGCTTCTCGAGGTGAGGCAGGGCACACAAGAACCCTTTCCTGTAGCCACAGTGATTTTGGGATTCCTATCAATGATCAGGAGGGGTCCGGCATCGTCACATTTGAAGCAGTGAACTCCGTGTGCCTCCCGAGGTGTCAACGGGATGTGAGGCAATCCGTCAAAATGAGGCAGGGACCTAGGGCTTTCGCTAAGGTCTCCACAGGGGATTCAGACAATCCTTCCGGTTGTGAGATGAAAGACAAGCCTGTATTCAAGACACTGCAAGGAAACCCGGCCTCCTTTCAAGTTAGGGCTTCTCGTTGCATATTCCACTTGAGGCAGCAAACTGGGGGTCCCTCCAACATAACTATTGCTGAGAGAAGCCTCCGCTTGAGGTGCTTCTGGAAAGTTGGCATACGTCTTGAGCATAAGCCAGGGAATCAGCTCTCATCTCGAGATGATTTGGGGTACACGGAGCATTCCTCGAGTTGCTGTGCTGAAGATGGTGTTCCTCTAGACTTGGGACAGTGTTCTCAGGGCATCTCTGGAGTTGTCTGAAGGAAGTCAAGCCACTGGTGGTGTTTAATCTGGAACGGGGGATGGCTCTGGAGTCAATGCAGGGGAATCGGGCATTATCTCGAGTCGATGTGGGGCACATGGTGCTGCTTTGCGTTGATGGGGTGACCTCAGGATCCATCTAGACATGTGATAGTATCTTGGGGACTGTCTCTAGATCCATTAAGCAAGTCGAAGGTCCTGACTTGTTTGATGGGGATCATGGAATTGCTCTGCATGCACTGCAGGAGAATCGGGCCTCATCTCGCCACTAGGGGAAAGTCTCATGGTTTTTCTTGACTTGCGGCGGGGACCTGGGGTATGTACTCGGGTTACGGCGGGGATGGCCCTTAAAAACTCGTGTTTATTCAGTGACGTCAGGACTCCTGTCCAGTAACGAGGGACAGCTCAGGAATCTCTTCGAGGCTTGGCAGGGCAAAAGGGATGCTTCTCGAGGTGAGGCAGGGCACCCAAGAACCCTGTCCTGTAGGTACAGTGATTTTGGGATTCCTATCAATGTTCAGGAGGAGTCAGGCATCGTCAGCTTTTGAAGCAGTGAACTCCGCGTGACTCTCGAGGTGTCAACGGGATGTGAGGCATTCCGTCACAATGAGGCAGGGACCTAGGGCTTTCTCTAAGGTCTCCACAGGGGATTCAGACATCTCTTCCTGCTGTGAGATGAAAGACGAGCCTGAATTCAAGACACTGCTAGGAAACCGGCCTCCATTCTAGTTAGTACTTCTCGCTGTATATTCCATTTGAGGCAGCAAACTCGGGTTCCCTCCCACATACCTATTGCTGAGAGAAGCCTCCTCTTGAGGTGCTTCTGGAAAGTTGGCATACGTCTTGAGCCTAAGCCAGGGAATCAGCTCTCAACTCGAGAAGATTTGGCATACAGGAAGCATTCCTCGAGTTGCTGTGCTAAAGGAGGTTTTCCTCTAGACTTGGGACAGTGTTCTCGGGGCATCTCTGGAGTTGTCTGAAGGAGGTCAAGCCACTGGTGGTGTTTAATGCGGAACGGCAGATGGCTCTGGAGTCAATGCAGGGGAATCGGACCTCATCTCAAGTTGATTTGGGGCACATGGAGCTGCTTTGCGTTGCTGGGGATACCTCAGGGTCCGTCTAGACATGTGACAGTGTTCTTGGGGAATGTCTCGAGATGCATTAAGCAAGTCGAAGCTCCTGACTTGTTTGATGGGGATCAAGGAATTGCTCTGCATGCACTGCAGGAGAATCGGGCCTCTTCTCGCCTCTAGGGGAAAGTCTCATGGTTTTTCTCGACTTGCGGCGGGGACCTGGGGTATGTACTCGAGTTACGGCGGCAATGGCCCTTCAAAACACGTGTTTATTCAGTGACGTCAGGACTCCTGTCCAGTAACGAGGGACATCTCAGGAATCTCTGCGAGGCTTGCCGGGGCACAAGGGACGCTTCTCAAGATGAGGCAGGGCACCCAAGGAACCTTTCCAATAGCCACAGGGATTTTGGGATTCCTATCAATATTCAAGAGGAGTCAGGCATCGTCACCTTTTGAAGCAGTGAACTCCGCGTGCCTCTCGTGGTGTCAACGGGATGTGAGGCATTCCGTCACAATGAGGCAGGGACCTAGGGCTTGCTCTAAGGTCTTCACAGGGGATTCAGACATCCTTTCCTGTTGTGAGATGAAAGACGAGCCTGTATACAAGACACTTCAAGGAAATCCGGCCTCCTTTCAAGTTAGGGCTTCTCGCTGTATATTCCAGTTTAGGCAGCAAACTCGGGGTCCCACGAACATACGTATTGCTGAGAGAAGCCTCCTCTTGAGGTGCTTCTGGAAAGTTGGCATACGTCTTGAGCCTAAGCCACGGAATCAGCTCTCATCTCAAGACGATTTGTGGTACACGGGGCATTCCTCGAGTTGCTGGGCTGTAGTTCGTATTCCTCAAGACTTGGGACAGTGTTCTCGGGGCATCTCTGGAGTTGCCTGAAGGAAGTCAAGCCCCCGGTGGTGTTTAATGGGGTACGGGGGATGGCTCTGGAGTCAATGCATGGGAATCGGGCCTCATCTCGAGTTGATGTGGGGTACTTGCAGCTGCTTTGCATTGCTGGGGTGACCTCAGGGTCTGTCTAGACTTGTGACAGTGTTCTTGGGGACTTTCTCGAGTTCAATTCAGCAAGTCGAAGCTCCTGACTTGCTTGATGGGGATCACAGGAATGCACTGCATGGACTGCAGGGAATCAGGCCTCATCTCGCATCTAGGGGAAGTCTCATGGTTTTTCTCTAGTTGCGGCGGGACCTGGGGTATGTTCTCGAGTTATGGCGGGCATGGCCCTTGAAAACACGTGTTTATTCAGTGACGTCATGACTCCTGTCTAGTAATTAGGGACACCTCAGGATTCTCTTCGAGCCTTGGCAGGGCAAAAGGGATGCTTCTCGAGGTGAGGCAGGGCACACAAGAACCCTTTCCTGTAGCCACAGTGATTTTGGGGTTCCTATCAATGATCAGGAGGGGTCAGGCATCGTCACATTTGAAGCAGTGAACTCCGCGTGACTCTCGAGGTGTCAACGGGATGTGAGGCATTCCGTCAAAATGAGGCAGGGACCTAGGGCTTTCTCTAAGGTCTCCACAGGGGATTCAGACATTCCTTCCTGTTGTGAGATGAAAGACGAGCCTGTATTCAAGACACTGCAAGGAAATCCGGCCTCCTTTCAAGTTAGGGCTTCTCGCTGCATATTCCACTGGAGGCAGCAAACTGGGGGTCCCTCCAACATATCTATTGCTGAGAGAAGCCTCCCCTTGAGGTGCTTCTGGAAAGTTGGCATACGTCTTGAGACTAAGCCAGGGAATCAGCTCTCATCTCGAGACGATTTGGGGTACACGGAGCATTCCTCGAGTTGCTGTGATGAAGATGGTGTTCCTCTAGACTTGGGACAGTGTTCTCAGGGCATCTCTGGAGTTGTCTGAAGGAAGTCAAGCCACTGCTCTTGTTTAATGGGGAACGGGGGATGGCTCTGGAGTCAATGCAGGGGAATCGGGCATTATCTCAAATTGATGTGGGGCACATGGTGCTGCTTTGCGTTGATGGGGTGACCTCAGGATCGGTCTAGACATGTGACAGTATTCTTGGGGACTGTCTAGAGATCCATTAAGCAAGTCGAAGGTCCTGACTTGTTTGATGGGGATCACGGAATTGCTCTGCATGCACTGCAGGAGAATCGGGCCTCATCTCGCCACTAGGGGAAAGTCTCATGGTTTTTCTCGACTTGCGGCGGGGACCTGGGGTATGTACTCGGGTTACGGCGGGGATGGCCCTTAAAAACTCGTGTTTATTCAGTGACGTCAGGACTCCTGTCCAGTAACGAGGGACAGCTCAGGAATCTCTTCGAGGCTTGGCAGGCACAAGGGACGCTTCTCGAGGTGAGGCAGGGCACCCAAGGAACCTTTCAAATAGCCACAGGGATTTTGTGATTCCTATCAATATTCAAGAGGAGTCAGGCATCGTCAGCTTTTGAAGCAGTGAACTCCGCGTGACTCTCGAGGTGTCAACGGGATGTGAGGCATTCCGTCAAAATGAGGCAGGGACCTAGGGCTTTCTCTAAGGTCTCCACAGGGGATTCAGACATCTCTTCCTGCTGTGAGATGAAAGACGAGCCTGTATTCAAGACACTGCTAGGAAACCGTCCTCCTTTCTAGTTAGTGCTTCTCGCTGTATATTCCATTTGAGGCAGCAAACTCGGGTTCCCTCCCACATACCTATTGCTGAGAGAAGCCTCCTCTTGAGGTGCTTCTGGAAAGTTGGCATACGTCTTGAGCCTAAGCCAGGGAATCAGCTCTCAACTCGAGAAGATTTGGCATACAGGAAGCATTCCTCGAGTTGCTGTGCTAAAGGAGGTTTTCCTCTAGACTTGGGACAGTGTTCTCGGGGCATCTCTGGAGTTGTCTGAAGGAGGTCAAGCCACTGGTAGTGTTTAATGCGGAACGGCAGATGGCTCTGGAGTCAATGCAGGGGAATCGGGCATTATCTCGAGTTGATTTGGGGCACATGGTGCTGCTTTGCTTTGATGGGGTGACCTCAGGATCCGTCTAGACATGTGACAGTGTTCTTGAGGAGTGTCTCGAGATCCATTAAGCAAGTCGAAGCTTCTGACTTGTTTGATGGGGATCACGGAATTGCTCTGCATGCACTGCAGGAGAATCGGGCCTCATCTCGCCTCTAGGGGAAAGTCTCATGGTTTTTCTCGACTTGCGACGGGGACCTGGGGTATGTACTCGGCTTACGGCGGGGATAGCCCTTCAAAACTCGTGTTTATTCAGTGACGTCAGGACTCCTGTCCAGTAACGAGGGACAGCTCAGGAATCTCTTCGAGGCTTGGCAGGGCCCAAGGGACGCTTCTCGAGGTGAGGCAGGGCACCCAAGGAACCTTTCCAATAGCCACAGGGATTTTGGGATTCCTATCAATATTTTAGAGGAGTCAGGCATCGTCACCTTTTGAAGCAGTGAACTCCGCGTGCCTCTCGAGGTGACAACGGGATGTGAGGCATTCCGTCAAAATGAGGCAGGGACCTATAGCTTTCTCTAAGGTCTCCAAAGGGGATTCAGACATCCCTTCATTCTGTGAGATGAAAGAAGAGCCTGTATTCAAGCCACTGCAAGGAAATCCGGCCTCCTTTCAAGTTAGGGCTTCTCGCTGTATATTCCACTTGAGGCAGCAAACTCGGGGTCCCTCCAACATACCAATTGCTGAGAGAAGCCTCCTCTTGAGGTGCTTCTGGAAAGTTGGCATACGTCTTGAGCCTAAGCCAGGGATTCAGCTTTCATCTCGAGACGATTTGTGGTACACGGAGCATTACTCGAGTTGCTGTGCTGAAGTTGGTGTTCCTCTAGTCTTGGGACAGTGTTCTCGGGGCATTTCTGGAGTTCCCTGAAGGAAGTCAAGCCACTGGTGGTGTTTAATGGGTTACGGGGGATGGCTCTGGAGTCAATGCATGGGAATCGGGCCTCATCTCGAATGGATGTGGGGTACTTGCAGCTGCTTTGCATTGCTGGGGTGACCTCAGGGTCTGTCTAGACTTGTGACAGTGTTCCTGGGGACTTTCTCGAGTTGATTTAAGCAAATCGAAGCTCCTGACTTGCTTGATGGGGATCACGGGAATGCTCTGCATGGACTGCAGGGAATCAGGCCTCATCTCGCATCTAGGGGAAGTCTCATGGTTTTACTCGAGTTGCGGCGGGAACTGGGGTATGTTCTCGAGTTATGGCGGGGATGGCCCTTCAAAACACGTGTTTATTCAGTGACGTCAGGACTCCTGTCTAGTAACGAGAGACATCTCAGGAATCTCTTCGAGGCTTGGCAGGGCAAAAGGGATGCTTCTCGAGGTGAGGCAGGGCACCCAAGAACCCTGTCCTGTAGCCACAGTGATTTTGGGATTCCTATCAATGTTCAGGAGGAGTCAGGCATCGTCACATTTTGAAGCAGTGAACTCCGTGTGCCTCTCGAGGTGTCAACGGTATGTGAGGCATTCCGTCAATATGAGGCAGGGACCTAGGGCTTTCTCTAAGGTCTCCACAGGGGATTCAGACATTCCTTCCGGTTGTGAGATGAAAGACGAGCCTGTATTCAAGACACAGCAAGGAAATCCGGCCTCCTTTGAAGTTAGGGCTTCTCGCTGTATATTCCACTTGAGGCAGCAAACTCGGGGTCCCTCCAACATTCCTATTGCTGAGAGAAGGCTCCCCTTGAGGTGCTTCTGGAAAGTTGGCATACGTCTTGAGCCTAAGCCAGGGAATCAGCTCTCATCTCGAGACGATTTGGGGTACACGGAGCATTCCTCGAGTTGCTGTGCTGAAGATGGTGTTCCTCTAGACTTGGGACAGTGTTCTCAGGGCATCTCTGGAGTTGCCTGAAGGAAGTCAAGCCACTGGTCGTGTTTAATGTGGAACGGGGGATGGCTCTGGAGTCAATGCAGGGGAATCGGGCATTATCTCGAGTTGATTTGGGGCACATGGTGCTGCTTTGCGTTGATGGGGTGACCTCAGGATCCGTCTAGACATGTGACAGTGTTCCCTGGTGACTGTCTCGAGATCCATTAAGCAAGTCGAAGCTTCTGACTTGTTTGATGGGGATCACGGAATTGCTCTGCATGCACTGCAGGAGAATCGGGCCTCATCTGGCCTCTAGGGGAAAGTCTCATGGTTTTTCTCGACTTGCGGCGGGGACCTGGGGTATGTACTCGGGTTACGGCGCGGATGGCCCTTCAAAACTCGTGTTCATTCAGTGACGTCAGGACTCCTGTCCAGTAACGAGGGACAGCTCAGGAATCTCTTCGAGGCTTGGCAGGGCAAAAGGGATGCTTCTCGAGGTGAGGCAGGTCACCCAAGAACCCTGTCCTGTAGCTACAGTGATTTTGGGATTCCTATCAATGTTCAGGAGGAGTCAGGCATCGTCAGCTTTTGAAGCAGTGAACTCCGCGTGACTCTCGAGGTGTCAACGGGATGTGAGGCATTCCGTCAAAATGAGGCAGGGACCTATAGCTTTCTCTAAGGTCTCCACAGGAGATTCAGTCATCCCTTCATTCTGTGAGATGAAAGACGAGCCTGTATTCAAGCCATTGCAAGGAAATCCGGCCTCCTTTCAAGTTAGGGCTTCTCGCTCTATATTCCACTTGAGGCAGCAAACTCGGGGTCCCTCCAACATACCTATTGCTGAGAGAAGCCTCCTCTTGAGGTGCTTCTGGAAAGTTGGCATACGTCTTGAGCCTAAGCCACGGATTCAGCTCTCATCTCGAGACGATTTGTGGTACACGGAGCATTCCTCGAGTTGCTGTGCTGAAGTTGGTGTTCCTCTAGTCTTGGGAGAGTGTTTGCGGGGCATCTCTGGAGTTGCCTGAAGGAAGTCTAGCCAGTTGTCTTGTTTAATGGGGAACTGGGGATGGCTCTGGAGTCAATGCAGGGGAATCGGGCCACATCTCGGGTTGATTTGGGGCATATGGAGCTGCTTTGCGTTGCTGTGGTGACCTCAGGGTCCGTCTAGACTTGTGACAGAGTTCTTGGGGACTGTCTCGAGATCCATTAAGCAAGTCGAAGCTCCTGACTTGTTTGATGGGGATCACGGGAATACTCTGCATGCACTGCAGGGAATCAGGACTCATCTCGCATCTAGGGGGAAGTCTCACGGTTTCTCTCAAGTTGCGCGGGGGACCTGGGGTATCTTCTCGAGTTACGGCGGGGATGGCCCCTCAAAACCCGTGTTTATTCAGTGCCGTCATGACTCCTGTCTAGTAATGAGGGACAGCTCAGGAATCTCTTCGAGCCTTGGCAGGGCAAAAGGGATGCTTCTCGAGGTGAGGCAGGGCACACAAGAATCCTTTCCTGTAGCCACAGTGATTTTGGGATTCCTATCAATGATCAGGAGGGGTCAGGCATCGTCACATTTGAAGCAGTGAACTCCGCGTGCCTCTCGAGGTGTCAACGGGATGTGAGGCATTCCGTCAAATTGAGGCAGGGACCTAGGGCTTTCTCTAAGGTCTCCACAGGGGATTCAGACATCCCTTCATGCTGTGAGATGAAAGACGAGCCTGTATCCAAGCCACTGCAAGGAAATCCGGCCTCCTTTCAAGTTAGGGCTTCTCGCTGTATATTCCACTTGAGGCAGCACACTCGGGGTCCCTCCCAAATACCTATTGCTGAGAGAAGCCTCCTCTTGAGGTGCTTCTGGAAAGTTGGCATACGTCTTGAGCCTAAGCCATGGAATCAGCTCTCACCTCGAAACGATTTGGGGTACACGGAGCATTCCACGAGTTGCTGTGCTGAAGTTCGTATTCCTCTAGACTTGGGACAGTGTTCTCGGGGCATCTCTCGAGTTGCCTGAAGGAAGTCAAGCCACTGGTGGTGCTTAATGGGGTACGGGGGATGGCTCTGGAGTCAATGCATGGGAATCGGGCCTCAACGCGAGTTGATGTGGGGTACTTGGAGCTGCTTTGCGTTGCTGGGGTGATGTCAGGGTCTGTCTAGACTTGTGACAGTGTTCCTGGGGACTCTCTCGAGATCCATTAAGCAATTCGAAGCTGCTGACTTGCTTGATTGGGATCACGGGAATGCTCTGCATGGACTGCAGGGAATCAGGCCTCATCTCGAATCTAGGGGAAGTCTCATGGTTTTTCTCGAGTTGCGGCGGGAACTGGAGTATGTTCTCGAGTTATGGCGGGGATGGCCCTTCAAAACACGTGTTTATTCAGTGACGTCAGGACTCCTGTCTAGTAACGAGAGACACCTCAGGAATCTCTTCGAGCCTTGGCAGGGCAAAAGGGATGCTTCTCGAGGTGAGGCAGGGCACCCAAGAACCCTGTCCTGTAGCCACAGTGATTTTGGGATTCCTATCAATGTTCAGGAGGAGTCAGGCATCGTCACATTTTGAGGCAGTGAACTCCGTGTGCCTCTCGAAGTGTCAACGGTATGTGAGGCATTCCGTCAAAATGAGGCAGGGACCTAGGGCTTTCTCTAAGGTCTCCACAGGGGATTCAGACATTCCTTCCGGTTGTGAGATGAAAGACGAGCCTGTATTCAAGACACAGCAAGGAAATCCGGCCTCCTTTGAAGTTAGGGCTTCTCGCTGTATATTCCACTTGAGGCAGCAAACTGGGGGTCCCTCCAACATTCCTATTGCTGAGAGAAGGCTCCCCTTGAGGTGCTTCTGGAAAGTTGGCATACGTCTTGAGCATAAGCCAGGGAATCAGCTCTCATCTCGAGACGATTTCGGGTACACGGAGCATTCCTCGAGTTGCTGTGCTGAAGATGGTGTTCCTCTAGACTTGGGACAGTGTTCTCAGGGCATCTCTGGAGTTGCCTGAAGGAAGTCAAGCCACTGGTCGTGTTTAATGTGGAACGGGGGATGGCTCTGGAGTCGATGCAGGGGAATCGGGCATTATCTCGAGTTGATTTGGGGCACATGGTGCTACTTTGCGTTGATGGGGTGACCTCAGGATCCGTCTAGACATGTAACAGTGTTCTTGGGGACTGTCGCGAGATCCATTAAGCAAGTCGAAGCTCCTGACTTGCTTGATGGGGATCACGGGAATGCTCTGCATGGACTGCAGGGAATCAGGCTTCATCTCGCATCTAGGGGAAGTCTCATGGTTTTACTCGAGTTGCGGCGGGAACTGGGGTATGTTCTCGAGTTATGGCGGGGATGGCCCTTCAAAACACGTGTTTATTCAGTGATGTCAGGACTCCTGTCTAGTAACGAGAGACACCTCAGGAATCTCTTCAAGGCTTGGCAGGGCAAAAGGGATGCTTCTCGAGGTGAGGCAGGGCACCCAAGAACCCTGTCCTGTAGCTACATTGATTTTTGGAATCCTATCAATGTTCAGGAGGAGTCAGGCATCGTCATATTTTGAAGCAGTGAACTCTGTGTGCCTCTCGAGTTGTCAACGGGATGTGAGGCATTCCGTCAAAATGAGGCAGGGACCTAGGGCTTTCTCTAAGGTCTCCACAGGGGATTCAGACATTCCTTCCGGTTTTGAGATGAAAGATGAGCCTGTATTCAAGACACAGCAAGGAAATCCGGCCTCCTTTCAAGTTAGGGCTTCTCGCTGCATATTCCACTTGAGGCAGCAAACTGGGGGTCCCTCCAACATACCTATTGCTGAGAGAAGGCTCCCCTTGAGGTGCTTCTGGAAAGTTGGCATACGTCTTGAGCCTAAGCCAGGGAATCAGCTCACATCTCGAGATGATTTGGGGTACACGGAGCATTCCTCGAGTTGCTGTGCTGAAGATGGTGTTCCTCTAGACTTGGGACAGTGTTCTCAGGGCATCTCTGGAGTTGCCTGAAGGAAGTCAAGCCACTGGTCGTGTTTAATGTGGAACGGGGGATTGCTCTGGAGTCAATGCAGGGGAATCGGGCATTATCTCGAGTTGATTTGGGGCACATGGTGCTGCTTTGCGTTGATGGGGTGACCTCAGGATCCGTCTAGACATGTGACAGTGTTCTTGGGGACTGTCTCGAGATCCATTAAGCAAGTCGAAGCTTCTGACTTGTTTGATGGGGATCACGGAATTGCTCTGCATGCACTGCAGGAGAATCGGGCCTCATCTCGCCTCTAGGGGAAAGTCTCATGGTTTTTCTCGACTGCGGCGGGGACCTGGCGTATGTACTCGGCTTACGGAGGGGATGGCCCTTCAAAACTCGTGTTTATTCAGTGACGTCAGGACTCCTGTCCAGTAACGAGGGACAGCTCAGGAATCTCTTCGAGGCTTGGCAGGGCACAAGGGACGCTTCTCGAGGTGAGGCAGGGCACCCAAGGAACCTTTCCAATAGCCACAGGGATTTTGGGATTCCTATCAATATTTTAGAGGAGTCAGGCATCGTCACCTTTTGAAGCAGTGAACTCCGCGTGCCTCTCGAGGTGACAACGGGATGTGAGGCATTCCGTCAAAATGAGGCAGGGACCTAGGGCTTTCTCTAAGGTCTCCACAGGGGATTCAGACATCCCTTCCTGCTGTGAGATGAAAGACGAGCCTGTATTCAGCCACTGCAAGGAAATCCGGCCTCCTTTCAAGTTAGGGCTTCTCGCTGTATATTCCACTTGAGGCAGCAAACTCGGGGTCCCTCCAACATACCTATTGCTGAGAGAAGCCTCCTCTTGAGGTGCTTCTGGAAAGTTGGCATACGTCTTGAGCCTAAGCCAGGGATTCAGCTCTCATCTCGAGACGATTTGTGGTACACGGAGCATTACTCGAGTTGCTGTGCTGAAGTTGGTGTTCCTCTAGTCTTGGCACAGTGTTCTCGGGGCATCTCTGGAGTTGCCTGAAGGAAGGCAAGCCACTGGTCTTGTTTAACGGGGAACTGGGGATGGCTCTGGAGTCAATGCATGGGAATCGGGCCTCATCTCGAGTTGATGTGGGGTACTTGCAGCTGCTTTGCATTGCTGGGGTGACCTCAGGGTCTGTCTAGACTTGTGGCAGTGTTCCTGGGGACTCTCTCGAGATCCATTAAGCAATTCGAAGCTGCTGACTTGCTTGATTGGGATCACGGGAATGCTCTGCATGGACTGCAGGGAATCAGGCCTCATCTCGCATCTAGGGGAAGTCTCATGGTTTTTCTCGAGTTGCGGCGGGACCTGGGGTAAGTTCTCGAGTTATGGCGGGCATGGCCCTTGAAAACACGTGTTTAGTCAGTGACGTCATGACTCCTGTCTAGTAATGAGGGACACCTCAGGAATCTCTTCGAGCCTTGGCAGGGCAAAAGGGATGCTTCTCGAGGTGAGGCAGGGCACACAAGAACCCTTTCCAGTAGCCACAGTGATTTTGGGATTCCTATCAATGATCAGGAGGGGTCAGGCATCGTCACATTTGAAGCAGTGAAATCCGTGTGCCTCCCGAGGTGTCAACGGGATGTGAGGCAATCCGTCAAAATGAGGCAGGGACCTAGGGCTTTCGCTAAGGTCTCCACAGGGGATTCAGACAATCCTTCCGGTTGTGAGATGAAAGACAAGCCTGTATTCAAGACACTGCAAGGAAACCCGGCCTCCTTTCAAGTTAGGGCTTCTCGTTGCATATTCCACTTGAGGCAGCAAAATGGGGGTCCCTCCAACATATCTATTGCTGAGAGAAGCCTCCCCTTGAGGTGCTTCTGGAAAGTTGGCATACGTCTTGAGCATAAGCCAGGGAATCAGCTCTCATCTCGAGACGATTTGGGGTACACGGAGCATTCCTTGAGTTGCTGTGCTGAAGATGGTGTTCCTCTAGACTTGGGACAGTGTTCTCAGGGCATCTCTGGAGTTGTCTGAAGGAAGTCAAGCCACTGGTGGTGTTTAATGAGGTACGGGGGATGGCTCTGGATTCAATGCAGGGGAATCGGGCATTATCTCGAGTTGATGTGGGGCACATGGTGCTGCTTTGCGTTGATGGGGTGACCTCACGATCCATCTAGACATGTGATAGTATTCTTGGGGACTGTCTCTAGATCCATTAAGCAAGTCGAAGGTCCTGACTTGTTTGATGGGGATCATGGAATTGCTCTGCATGCACTGCAGGAGAATCGGGCCTCATCTCGCCACTAGGGGAAAGTCTCATGGTTTTTCTCGACTTGCGGCGGGGCCCTGGGGTATGTACTCGGGTTACGGCGGGGATGGCCCTTAAAAACTCGTGTTTATTCAGTGACGTCAGGACTCCTGTCCAGTAAGGAGGGACAGCTCAGGAATCTCTTCGAGGCTTGGCAGGGCAAAAGGGATGCTTCTCGAGGTGAGGCAGGGCACCCAAGAACCCTGTCCTGTAGGTACAGTGATTTTGGGATTCCTATCAATGTTCAGGAGGAGTCAGGCATCGTCAGCTTTTGAAGCAGTGAACTCCGCGTGACTCTCGAGGTGTCAACGGGATGTGAGGCATTCCGTCACAATGAGGCAGGGACCTAGGGCTTTCTCTAAGGTCTCCACAGGGGATTCAGACATCTCTTCCTGCTGTGAGATGAAAGACGAGCCTGTATTCAAGACACTGCTAGGAAACCGGCCTCCATTCTAGTTAGTGCTTCTCGCTGTATATTCCATTTGAGGCAGCAAACTCGGGTTCCCTCCCACATACCTATTGCTGAGAGAAGCCTCCTCTTGAGGTGCTTCTGGAAAGTTGGCATACGTCTTGAGCCTAAGCCAGGGAATCAGCTCTCAACTCGAGAAGATTTGGCATACAGGAAGCATTCCTCGAGTTGCTGTGCTAAAGGAGGTTTTCCTCTAGACTTGGGACAGTGTTCTCGGGGCATCTCTGGAGTTGTCTGAAGGAGGTCAAGCCACTGGTGGTGTTTAATGCGGAACGGCAGATGTCTCTGGAGTCAATGCAGGGGAATCGGACCTCATCTCAAGTTGATTTGTGGCACATGGAGCTGCTTTGCGTTACTGGGGATACCTCAGGGTCCGTCTAGACATGTGACAGTGTTCTTGGGGAATGTCTCGAGATCCATTAAGCAAGTCGAAGCTCCTGACTTGTTTGATGGGGATCACGGAATTGCTCTGCATGCACTGCAGGAGAATCGGGCCTCATCTCGCTTCTAGGCGGAAGTCTCATGGTTTTTCTCGAGTTGCGGCGGGGACCTGGGGTATTACTCTAGTTACGGCGGCAATGGCCCTTCAAAACACGTGTTTATTCAGTGACGTCAGGACTCCTGTCCAGTAACGAGGGACAGCTCAGGAATCTCTTCGAGGCTTGCCGGGGCACAAGGGACGCTTCTCGAGGTGAGGCAGGGCACCCAAGGAACCTTTCCAATAGCCACAGGGATTTTGGGATTCCTATCAATATTCAAGAGGAGTCAGGCATCGTCACCTTTTGAAGCAGTGAACTCCGCGTGCCTCTCGTGGTGTCAACGGGATGTGAGGCATTCCGTCACAATGAGGCAGGGACCTAGGGCTTGCTCTAAGGTCTTCACAGGGGATTCAGACATCCTTTCCTGTTGTGAGATGAAAGACGAGCCTGTATACAAGACACTGCAAGGAAATCCGGCCTCCTTTCAAGTTAGGGCTTCTCGCTGTATATTCCACTTGAGGCAGCAAACTCGGGGTCCATCCCACATACCTATTGCTGAGAGAAGCCTCCTCCTGAGGTGCTTCTGGAAAGTTGGCATACGTCTTGAGCCTAAGCCAGGGAATCAGCTCTCATCTCGAGACGATTTGTGGTACACGGAGCATTACTCGAGTTGCTGTGCTGAAGTTGGTGTTCCTCTAGTCTTGGGACAGTGTTCTCATGGCATTTCTGGAGTTGCCTGAAGGAAGGCAAGCCACTGGTGGTGTTTAATGGGTTACGGGGGATGGCTCTGGAGTCAATGCATGGGAATCGGTCCTCATCTCGAGTTGATGTGGGGTACTTGCAGCTGATTTGCATTGCTGGGGTGACCTCAGGGTCTGTCTAGACTTGTGACAGTGTTCCTGGGGACTTTCTCGAGTTCAATTCAGCAAGTCGAAGCTCCTGACTTGCTTGATGGGGATCACAGGAATGCACTGCATCGAATGCAGGGAATCAGGCCTCATCTCGCATCTAGGGGAAGTCTCATGGTTTTTCTCTAGTTGCGGCGGGACCTGGGGTATGTTCTCGAGTTATGGCGGGCATGGCCCTTGAAAACACGTGTTTATTCAGTGACGTCATGACTCCTGTCTAGTAATTAGGGACACCTCAGGAATCTCTTCGAGCCTTGGCAGGGCAAAAGGGATGCTTCTCGAGGTGCGGCAGGGCACACAAGAACCCTTTCCTCTAGCCACAGTGATTTTGGGGTTCCTATCAATGATCAGGAGGGGTCAGGCATCGTCACATTTGAAGCAGTGAACTCCGTGTGCCTCTCGAGGTGTCAACGGGATGTGAGGCAATCCGTCAAAATGAGGCAGGGACCTAGGGCTTTCGCTAAGTTCTCCACAGGGGATTCAGACATTCCTTCCTGTTGTGAGATGAAAGACGAGCCTGTATTCAAGTTACAGCAAGGAAATCCGGCCTCCTTTCAAGTTAGGACTTCTCGCTGCATATTCCACTTGAGGCAGCAAACTGGGGGTCCCTCAAACATATCAATTGCTGAGAGAAGCCTCCCCTTGAGGTGCTTCTGGAAAGTTGGCATACGTCTTGAGCCTAAGCCAGGGAATCAGCTCTCATCTCGAGACGATTTGGGGTACACGGAGCATTCCTCGAGTTGCTGTGCTGAAGATGGTGTTCCTCTAGACTTGGGACAGTGTTCTCAGGGCATCTCTGGAGTTGTCTGAAGGAAGTCAAGCCACTGCTCTTGTTTAATGGGGAACGGGGGATGGCTCTGGAGTCAATGCAGGGGAATCGGGCATTATCTCGAGTTGATGTGGGGCACATGGTGCTGCTTTGCGTTGATGGGGTGACCTCAGGATCCGTCTAGACATGTGACAGTATTCTTGGGGACTGTCTCGAGATCCATTAAGCAAGTCGAAGGTCCTGACTTGTTTGATGGGGATCACGGAATTGCTCTGCATGCACTGCAGGTGAATCGGGCCTCATCTCGCCTTTAGGGGAAAGTCTCATGGTTTTTCTCGACTTGCGGCGGGGACCTGGGGTATGTACTCGGTTTACGGCGGGGATGGCCCTTAAAAACTCGTGTTTATTCAGTGACGTCAGGACTCCTGTCCAGTAACGAGGGACAGCTCAGGAATCTCTTCGAGGCTTGGCAGGCACAAGGGACGCTTCTCGAGGTAAGGCAGGGCACCCAAGGAACCTTTCAAATAGCCACAGGTATTTTGTGATTCCTATCAATATTCAAGAGGAGTCAGGCATCGTCAGCTTTTGAAGCAGTGAACTCCGCGTGACTCTCGAGGTGTCAACGGGATGTGAGGCATTCCGTCAAAATGAGGCAGGGACCTAGGGCTTTCTCTAAGGTCTCCACAGGGGATTCAGACATCTCTTCCTGCTGTGAGATGAAAGACGAGCCTGTATCCAAGACACTGCTAGGAAACCGTCCTCCTTTCTAGTTAGTGCTTCTCGCTGTTTATTCCATTTGAGGCAGCAAACTCGGGTTCCCTCCCACATACCTATTGCTGAGAGAAGCCTCCTCTTGAGGTGCTTCTGGAAAGTTGGCATAGGTCTTGAGCCTAAGCCAGGGAATCAGCTCTCATCTCGAGAAGATTTGGCATACAGGAAGCATTCCTCGAGTTGCTGTGCTAAAGTAGGTGTTCCTCTAGACTTGGGACAGTGTTCTCGGGGCATCTCTGGAGTTGTCTGAAGGAGGTCAAGCCACTGGTGGTGTTTAATGCGGAACGGCAGATGGCTCTGGAGTCAATGCAGGGGAATCGGACCTCATCTCAAGTTGATTTGGGGCACATGGAGCTGCTTTGCGTTGCTAGGGATAGCTCAGGGTCCGTCTAGACATGTGACAGTGTTCTTGGGGAATGTCTCGAGATCCATTAAGCAAGTCGAAGCCCCTGACTTGTTTGATGGGGATCACGGAATTGCTCTGCATGCACTGCAGGAGAATCGGGCCTCATCTCGCCTCTAAGCGGAAGTCTCATGGTTTTGCTCGAGTTGCGGCGGGGAACTGGGGTATGTTCTCGAGTTATGGCGGGGATGGCCGTTCAAAACACGTGTTTATTCAGTGACGTCAGGACTCCTGTCTAGTAACGAGAGACACCTCAGAAATCTCTTCGAGGCTTGGCAGGGCACAAGGGACGCTTGTCGAGGTGAGGCAGGGCACCCAAGGAACCTTTCCAATAGCCACAGGGATTTTGGTATTCCTATCAATATTTTAGAGGAGTCAGGCATCGTCACTTTTTGAAGCCGTGAACTCCGCGTGCCTCTCTAGGTGACAACGGGATGTGAGGCATTCCGTCAAAATGAGGCAGGGACCTATAGCTTTCTCTAAGGTCTCCACAGGGGATTCAGACATCCCTTCATTCTGTGAGATGAAAGACGAGCCTGTATTCAAGCCACTGCAAGGAAATCCAGCCTCCTTTCAAGTTAGGGCTTCTCGCTGTATATTAGACTTGAGGCAGCAAACTCGGGGTCCCTCCAACATACCTATTGCTGAGAGAAGCCTCCTCTTGAGGTGCTTCTGGAAAGTTGGCATACGTCTTGAGCCTAAGCCAGGGATTCAGCTCTCATCTCGAGACGATTTGTGGTACACGGAGCATTACTCGAGTTGCTGTGCTGAAGTTGGTGTTCCTCTAGTCTTGGGACAGTGTTCTCGGGGCATTTCTGGAGTTGCCTGAAGGAAGTCAAGCCACTGGTGATGTTAAATGGGTTACGGGGGATGGCTCTGGAGTCAATGCATGGGAATCGGGCCTCATCTCGAGTTGATGTGGGGTACTTGCAGCTGCTTTGCATTGCTGGGGTGACCTCAGGGTCTGTCTAGACTTGTGACAGTGTTCCTGGGGACTTTCTCGAGTTGAATTAAGCAAGTCGAAGCTCCTGACTTACTTGATGGGGATCACGGGAATGCTCTGCATGGACTGCAGGGAATCAGGCCTCATCTCGCATCTAGGGGAAGTCTCATGGTTTTACGCGAGTTGTGGCGGGAACTGGGGTATGTTCTCGAGTTATGGCGGGGATGGCCCTTCAAAACACGTGTTTATTCAGTGACGTCAGGACTCCTGTCTAGTAACGAGAGACACCTCAGGAATCTCTTCGAGGCTTGGCAGGGCAAAAGGGTTGCTTCTCGAGGTGAGACAGGGCACCCAAGGACCCTGTCCTATAGCTACAGTAATTTTGGGATTCCTATCAATGTTCAGGAGGAGTCAGGCATCGTCACATTTTGAAGCAGTGAACTCCGCGTGCCTCTCGAGGTGTCAACGGGATGTGAGGCATTCCGTCAAAATGAGGCAGGGACCTAGGGCTATCGCTAAGGTCTCCACAGGGGATTCAGACTTTCCTTCCGGTTGTGAGATGAAAGTCGAGCCTATATTCAAGACACTGCAGGGAAACCCGGCCTCCTTTCAAGTTAGGGCTTCTCGCTGCATATTCCACTTGAGGCAGCAAACTGGGGGTCCCTCCAACATACCTATTGCTGAGAGAAGCCTCCCCTTGAGGTGCTTCTGGAAAGTTGGCATACGTCTTGAGCCTAAGCCAGGGATCAGCTCTCATCTCGAGACGATTTGGGGTACAGGGAGCATTCCTCGCGTTGCTGTGCTGAAGATGGTGTTCCTCTAGACTTGGGACAGTGTTCTCAGGGCATCTCTGGAGTTGTCTGAAGGAAGTCAAGCCACTGGTGCTTTTTAATGTGGAACGGGGGATGGCTCTGGATTCAATGCAGGGGAATCGGGCATTATCTCGAGTTGATGTGGGGCACATGGTGCTGCTTTGCGTTGATGGGGTGACCTCAGCATCCGTCTGGATATGTGACAGTATTCTTGGGGACTGTCTCGAGATCCATTAAGCAAGTCGAAGGTCCTGACTTGTTTGATGGGGATCACGGAATTGCTCTGCATGCACTGCAGGAGAATCGGGCCTCATCTCGCCACGAGGGGAAAGTCTCATGGTTTTTCTCGACTTGCGGCGGGGACCTGGGGTATGTACTCGGGTTACGGCGGGGATGGCCCTTAAAAACTCGTGTTTATTCAGTGACGTCAGGACTCCTGTCCAGTAACGAGGGACAGCTCAGGAATCTCTTCGAGGCTTGGCAGGGCAAAAGGGATGCTTCTCGTGGTGAGGCAGGGCACCCAACAACCCTGTCCTGTAGCTACAGTGATTTTGGGATTCCTATCAATGTTCAGGAGGAGTCAGGCATCGTCAGCTTTTGAAGCAGTGAACTCCGCGTGACTCTCGAGGTGTCAACGGGATGTGAGGCATTCCGTCAAAATGAGGCAGGGACCTAGGGCTTTCTCTAAGGTCTCCACAGGGGATTCAGACATTCCTTCTGGTTGTGAGATGAAAGACGAGCCTGTATTCAAGACACTGCTAGGAAACCGGCCTCCTTTCTAGTTAGTGCTTCTCGCTGTATATTCCCTTTGAGGCAGCAAACTCGGGTTCCCTCCCACATACCTATTGCTGAGAGAAGCCTCCTCTTGAGGTGCTTCTGGAAAGTTGGCATACGTCTTGAGCCTAAACCAGGGAATCAGCTCTCATCTCGAGAGGATTTGGCATACAGGAAGCATTCCTCGAGTTGCTGTGCTAAAGTAGGTGTTCCTCTAGACTTGGGACAGTGTTCTCGGGGCATCTCTGGAGTTGTCTGAAGGAGGTCAAGCCACTGGTGGTGTTTAATGCGGAACGGCAGATGGCTCTGGAGTCAATGCAGGGGAATCGGACCTCATCTCAAGTTGATTTGGGGCACATGGAGCTGCTTTGCGTTGCTGGGGATACCTCAGGGTCCGTCTAGACATGTGACAGTGTTCCTGGGGAATGTCTCGAGATCCATTAAGCAAGTCGAAGCCCCTGACTTGTTTGATGGGGATCACGGAATTTCTCTGCATGCACTGCAGGAGAATCGGGCCTCATCTCGCCTCTAGGCGGAAGTCTCATGGTTTTTCTCGAGTTGCGGCGGGGAACTGGGGTATGTACTCGAGTAACGGCGGGGATGGCCCTTCAAAACACGTGTTTATTCAGTGACGTCAGGACACCTCTCCAGTAACGAGAGACACCTCAGGAATCTCTTCGAGGCTTGGCAGGGCAAAAGGGATGCTTCTCGTGGTCAGGCAGAGCACCCAAGGACCCTGTCCTGTAGCTACAGTGATTTTGGGATTCCTATCAATGTTCAGGATGAGTCAGGCATCGTCAAATTTTGAAGCAGTGAACTCCGTGTGCCTCTCGAGGTGTCAACGGGATGTGAGGCATTCCGTCAAAATGAGGCAGAGACCTAGGGCTTTCTCTAAGGTCTCCACAGGGGATTCAGACATTCCTTCCGGTTGTGAGATGAAAGACGAGCCTGTATTCAAGACACAGCAAGGAAATCCGGCCTCCTTTCAAGTTAAGGCTTCTCGCTGCATATTCCACTTGAGGCAGCAAACTGGGGGTCCCTCCAACATACCTCTTGCTGAGAGAAGGCTCCCCTTGAGGTGCTTCTGGAAAGTTGGCATACGTCTTGAGCCTAAGCCAGGGAATCAGCTCACATCTCGTGACGATTTGGGGTACACGGAGCATTCCTCGAGTTGCTGTGCTGAAGATGGTGTTCCTCTAGACTTGGGACAGTGTTCTCAGGGCATCTCTGGAGTTGCCTGAAGGAAGTCAAGCCACTGGTCGTGTTTAATGTGGAACGGGGGATGGCTCTGGAGTCAATGCAGGGGAATCGGGCATTATCTCGAGTTGATTTGGGGCACATGGTGCTGCTTTGCGTTGATGGGGTGACCTCAGGATCCATCTAGACATGTGACAGTGTTCTTGGGGACTGTCTCGAGATCCATTAAGCAAGTCGAAGCTTCTGACTTGTTTGATGGGGATCACGGAATTGCTCTGCATGCACTGCAGGAGAATCGGGCCTCATCTCGCCTCTAGGGGAAAGTCTCATGGTTTTTCTCGACTTGCGGCGGGGACCTGGGGTATGTACTCGGCTTACGGCGGGGATGGCCCTTCAAAACTCGTGTTTATTCAGTGACGTCAGGACTCCTGTCCAGTAACGAGGGACAGCTCAGGAATCTCTTCGAGGCTTGGCAGGGCACAAGGGACGCTTCTCGAGGTGAGGCAGGGCACCCAAGGAACCTTTCCAATAGCCACAGGGATTTTGGGATTCCTATCAATATTTTAGAGGAGTCAGGCATCGTCACCTTTTGAAGCAGTGAACTCCGCGTGCCTCTCGAGGTGACAACGGGATGTGAGGCATTCCGTCAAAATGAGGCAGGGACCTAGAGCTTTCTCTAAGGTCTCCACAGGGGATTCAGACATCCCTTCATTCTGTGAGATGAAAGACGAGCCTGTATTCAAGCCACTGCAAGGAAATCCGGCCTCCTTTCAAGTTAGGGCTTCTCGCTGTATATTCCACTTGAGGCAGCAAACTCGGGGTCCCTCCAACATACCTATTGCTGAGAGAAGCCTCCTCTTGAGGTGCTTCTGGAAAGTTGGCATACGTCTTGAGCCTAAGCCAGGGATTCAGCTCTCATCTCGAGACGATTTGTGGTACACGGAGCATTACTCGAGTTGCTGTGCTGAAGTTGGTGTTCCTCTAGTCTTGGGACAGTGTTCTCGGGGCATTTCTGGAGTTCCCTGAAGGAAGTCAAGCCACTGGTGGTGTTTAATGGGTTACGGGGGATGGCTCAGGAGTCAATGCATGGGAATCGGGCCTCATCTCGAGTTGATGTGGGGTACTTGCAGCTGCTTTGCATTGCTGGGGTGACCTCAGGGTCTGTCTAGACTTGTGACAGTGTTCCTGGGGACTTTCTCGAGTTGAATTAAGCAAGTCGAAGCTCCTGACTTGCTTGATGGGGATCACGGGAATGCTCTGCATGGACTGCAGGGAATCAGGCCTCATCTCGCATCTAGGGGAAGTCTCATGGTTTTACTCGAGTTGCGGCGGGAACTGGGGTATGTTCTCGAGTTATGGCGGGGATGGCCCTTCAAAACACGTGTTTATTCAGTGACGTCAGGACTCCTGTCTAGTAACGAGAGACATCTCAGGAATCTCTTCGAGGCTTGGCAGGGCAAAAGGGATGCTTCTCGAGGTGAGGCAGGGCACCCAAGAACCCTGTCCTGTAGCCACAGTGATTTTGGGATTCCTATCAATGTTCAGGAGGAGTCAGGCATCGTCACATTTTGAAGCAGTGAACTCCGTGTGCCTCTCGAAGTGTCAACGGTATGTGAGGCATTCCGTCAATATGAGGCAGGGACCTAGGGCTTTCTCTAAGGTCTCCACAGGGGACTCAGACATTCCTTCCGGTTGTGAGATGAAAGACGAGCCTGTATTCAAGACACAGCAAGGAAATCCGGCCTCCTTTGAAGTTAGCGCTTCTTGCTGTATATTCCACTTGAGGCAGCAAACTGGGGGTCCCTCCAACATTCCTATTGCTGAGAGAAGTCTCCCATTGAGGTGCTTCTGGAAAGTTGGCATACGTCTTGAGCCTAAGCCAGGGAATCAGCTCACATCTCGAGACGATTTGGGGTACACGGAGCATTCCTCGAGTTGCTGTGCTGAAGATGGTGTTCCTCTAGACTTGGGACAGTGTTCTCAGGGCATCTCTGGAGTTGCCTGAAGGAAGTCAAGCCACTGGTCGTGTTTAATGTGGAACGGGGGATGGCTCTGGAGTCAATGCAGGGGAATCGGGCATTATCTCGAGTTGATTTGGGGCACATGGTGCTGCTTTGCGTTGATGGGGTGACCTCAGGATCCGTCTAGACATGTGACAGTGTTCCCTGGTGACTGTCTCGAGATCCATTAAGCAAGTCGAAGCTTCTGACTTGTGTGATGGGGATCACGGAATTGCTCTGCATGCACTGCAGGAGAATCGGGCCTCATCTGGCCTCTAGGGGAAAATCTCATGGTATTTCTCGACTTGCGGCGGGGACCTGGGGTATGTACTCGGGTTACGGCGCGGATGGCCCTTCAAAACTCGTGTTTATTCAGTGACGTCAGGACTCCTGTCCAGTAACGAGGGACAGCTCAGGAATCTCTTCGAGGCTTGGCAGGGCACAAGGGACGCTTCTCGAGGTGAGGCAGGGCACCCAAGGAACCTTTCCAATAGCCACAGGGATTTTGGGATTCCTATCAATATTTTAGAGGAGTCAGGCATCGTCACCTTTTGAAGCAGTGAACTCCGCGTGCCTCTCTAGGTGACAACGGGATGTGAGGCATTCCGTCAAAATGAGGCAGGGACCTATAGCTTTCTCTAAGGTCTCCACAGGAGATTCAGTCATCCCTTCATTCTGTGAGATGAAAGACGAGCCTGTATTCAAGCCATTGCAAGGAAATCTGACCTCCTTTCAAGTTAGGGCTTCTCCCTGTATATTCCACTTGAGGCAGCAAACTCGGGGTCCCTCCAACATACCTATTGCTGAGAGAAGCCTCCTCTTGAGGTGCTACTGGAAAGTTGGCATACGTCTTGAGCCTAAGCCAGGGATTCAGCTCTCATCTCGAGACAATTTGTGGTACACGGAGCATTCCTTGAGTTGCTGTGCTGAAGTTGGTGTTCCTCTAGTCTTGGGAGAGTGTTTGCGGGGCATCTCTGGAGTTGCCTGAAGGAAGTCTAGCCAGTTGTCTTGTTTAATGGGGAACTGGGGATGGCTCTGGAGTCAATGCAGGGGAATCGGGCCACATCTCGGGTTGATTTGGGGCACATGGAGCTGCTTTGCGTTGCTGGGGTGACCTCAGGGTCCGTCTAGACTTGTGACAGAGTTCTTGGGGACTGTCTCGAGATCCATTAAGCAAGTCAAAGCTCCTGACTTGTTTGATGGGGATCACGGGAATACTTTGCATGCACTGCAGGGAATCAGGACTCATCTCGCATCTAGGGGGAAGTCTCACGGTTTCTCTCAAGTTGCGCGGGGGACCTGGGGTATCTTCTCGAGTTACGGCGGGGATGGCCCCTCAAAACCCGTGTTTATTCAATGCCGTCATGACTCCTGTCTAGTAATGAGGGACACCTCAGGAATCTCTTCGAGCCTTGGCAGGGCAAAGGGATGCTTCTCGAGGTGAGGCAGGGCACACAAGAATCCTTTCCTGTAGCCACAGTGATTTTGGGATTCCTATCAATGATCAGGAGGGGTCAGGCATCGTCACATTTGAAGCAGTGAACTCCGCGTGCCTCTCGAGGTGTCAACGGGATGTGAGGCATTCCGTCAAATTGAGGCAGGGACCTAGGGCTTTCTCTAAGGTCTTCACAGGGGATTCAGACATCCCTTCCTGTTGTGAGATGAAAGACGAGCCTATATACAAGACACTGCAAGGAAATCCGGCCTCCATTCAAGTTAGGGCTTCTCGCTGTATATTCCACTTGAGGCAGCAAACTGGGGGTCCCTCCAACATACCTATTGCTGATAGAAAGCTCCCCTTGAGGTGCTTTTGGAAAGTTGGCATCCGTCTTGAGCCTAAGCCAGGGAATCAGCTCTCATCTCGAGACGATTTGGGGTACACGGAGCATTCCTCGAGTTGCTGTGCTGAAGATGGTGTTCCTCTAGACTTGGGACAGTGTTCTCAGGGCATCTCTGGAGTTGCCTGTAGGAAGTCTAGCCAGTTGTCTTGTTTAATGGGGAACTGGGGATGGCTCTGGAGTCAATGCAGGGGAATCGGGCCACATCTCGGTTTGATTTGGGGCACATGGAGCTGCTTTGCGTTGCTGGGGTTACCTCAGGGTCCGTCTAGACTTGTGACAGTGTTCTTGGGGACTGTCTCGAGATCCATTAAGCAAGTCGAAGCTCCTGACTTGTTTGATGGGGATCACGGGAATACTCTGCATGCACTGCAGGGAATCAGGACTCATCTCGCATCTAGGGGGAAGCCTCACGGTTTCTCTCAAGTTGCGCGGGGGACTTGGGGTATCTTCTCGAGTTACGGCGGGGATGGCCCCTCAAAACCCGTGTTTATTCAGTGCCGTCAGGACTCCTGTCTAGTAACGAGGGACACCTCAGGAATCTCTTCGAGGCTTGGCAGGTCAAAAGGTATGCTTCTCGAGGTGAGGCAGGGCAACCAATGTCCCTTTCCAGTAGCCACAGTGATTTTGGGATTCCTATCAATATTCAAGACGAGTCAGGCATCATCACCTTTTGAAGCAGTGAACTCCGCGTGCCTCTCGAAGTGTCAACTGGATGTGAGGCATTCCGTCAAAATGATGCAGGGACCTAGAGCTTTCTCTAAGGTCTCCACAGGGGATTCAGACATCCCTTCATGCTGTGAGATGAAAGACGAGCCTGTATTCAAGCCACTGCAAGGAAATCCGGCCTCCTTTCAAGTTAGGGCTTCTGGCTGTATATTCCACTTGAGGCAGCAAACTCGGGGTCCCTCCCAAATACCTATTGCTGAGAGAAGCCTCATCTTGAGGTGCTTCTGGAAAGTTGGCATACGTCTTGAGCCTAAGCCATGGAATCAGCTCTCACCTCGAAACGATTTGGGCTACACGGAACATTCCTCGAGTTGCTGTGCTGAAGTTCGTATTCCTCTAGACTTGGGACAGTGTTCTCGGGGCATCTCTCGAGTTGCCTGAAGGAAGTCAAGCCACTGGTGGTGCTTAATGGGGTACGGGGGATGGCTCTGGAGTCAATGCATGGGAATCGGGCCTCAACGCGAGTTGATGTGGGGTACTTGGAGCTGCTTTGCGTTGCTGGGGTGATGTCAGGGTCTGTCTAGACTTGTGACAGTGTTCCTGGGGACTCTCTCGAGATCCATTAAGCAATTCGAAGCTGCTGACTTGCTTGATTGGGATCACGGGAATGCTCTGCATGGACTGCAGGGAATCAGGCCTCATCTCGCATCTAGGGGAAGTCTCATGGTTTTTCTCGAGTTGCCGCGGGAACTGGGGTATGTTCTCGAGTTATGGCGGGGATGGCCCTTCAAAACACGTGTTTATTCAGTGACGTCAGGACTCCTGTCTAGTAACGAGAGACACCTCAGGAATCTCTTCGAGGCTTGGCAGGGCAAAAGGGATGCTTCTCGAGGTGAGGCAGGGCACCCAAGAACCCTGTCCTGTAGCCACAGTGATTTTGGGATTCCTATCAATGTTCAGGAGGAGTCAGGCATCGTCACATTTTGAAGCAGTGAACTCCGTGTGCCTCTCGAAGTGTCAACGGTATGTGAGGCATTCCGTCAAAATGAGGCAGGGACCTAGGGCTTTCTCTAAGGTCTCCACAGGGGATTCAGACATTCCTTCCGGTTGTGAGATGAAAGACGAGCCTGTATTCAAGACACAGCAAGGAAATCCGGCCTCCTTTGAAGTTAGGGCTTCTCGCTGTATATTCCACTTGAGGCAGCAAACTGGGGGTCCCTCCAACATTCCTATTGCTGAGAGAAGGCTCCCCTTGAGGTGCTTCTGGAAAGTTGGCATACGTCTTGAGCCTAAGCCAGGGAATCAGCTCTCATCTCGAGACGATTTGGGGTACACGGAGCATTCCTCGAGTTGCTGTGCTGAAGATGGTGTTCCTCTAGACTTGGGACAGTGTTCTCAGGGCATCTCTGGAGTTGCCTGAAGGAAGTCAAGCCACTGGTCGTGTTTAATGTGGAACGGGGGATGGCTCTGGAGTCGATGCAGGGGAATCGGGCATTATCTCGAGTTGATTTGGGGCACATGGTGCTACTTTGCGTTGATGGGGTGACCTCAGGATCCGTCTAGACATGTAACAGTGTTCTTGGGGACTGTCTCGAGATCCATTAAGCAAGTCGAAGCTCCTGACTTGCTTGATGGGGATCACGGGAATGCTCTGCATGGACTGCAGGGAATCAGGCCTCATCTCGCATCTAGGGGAAGTCTCATGGTTTTACTCGAGTTGCGGCGGGAACTGGGGTATGTTCTCGAGTTATGGCGGGGATGGCCCTTCAAAACACGTGTTTATTCAGTGACGTCAGGACTCCTGTCTAGTAACGAGAGACACCTCAGGAATCTCTTCAAGCCTTGGCAGGGCAAAAGGGATGCTTCTCGAGGTGAGGCAGGGCACCCAAGAACCCTGTCCTGTAGCTACAGTGATTTTGGGATTCCTATCAATGTTCAGGAGGAGTCAAGCATCGTCATATTTTGAAGCAGTGAACTCCGTGTGCCTCTCGAGTTGTCAACGGGATGTGAGGCATTCCGTCAAAATGAGGCAGGGACCTAGGGCTTTCTCTAAGGTCTCCACAGGGGATTCAGACATCCCTTCATTCTGTGAGATGAAAGACGAGCCTGTATTCAAGCCACTGCAAGGAAATCCGGCCTCCTTTCAAGTTAGGGCTTCTCGCTGTATATTCCACTTGAGGCAGCAAACTCGGGGTCCCTCCAACATACCTATTGCTGAGAGAAGCCTCCTCTTGAGGTGCTTCTGGAAAGTTGGCATACGTCTTGAGCCTAAGCCAGGGATTCAGCTCTCATCTCGAGACGATTTGTGGTACACGGAGCATTACTCGAGTTGCTGTGCTGAAGTTGGTGTTCCTCCAGTCTTGGCACAGTGTTCTCGGGGCATCTCTGGAGTTGCCTGAAGGAAGGCAAGCCACTGGTCTTGTTTAATGGGGAACTGGGGATGGCTCTGGAGTCAATGCATGGGAATCGGGCCTCATCTCGAGTTGATGTGGGGTACTTGCAGCTGCTTTGCATTGCTGGGGTGACCTCAGGGTCTGTCTAGACTTGTGAGAGTGTTCCTGGGGACTTTCTCGAGTTGAATTAAGCAAGTAGAAGCTCCTGACTTGCTTGATGGGGATCACGGGAATGCTCTGCATGGACTGCAGGGAATCAGGCCTCATCTCGCATCTAGGGGAAGTCTCATGGTTTTACTCGAGTTGCGGCGGGAACTGGGGTATGTTCTCGAGTTATGGCGGGGATGGCCCTTCAAAACACGTGTTTATTCAGTGACGTCAGGACTCCTGTCTAGTAACGAGAGACACCTCAGGAATCTCTTCGAGGCTTGGCAGGGCAAAAGGGATGCTTCTCGAGGTGAGGCAGGGCACCCAAGATCCCTGTCCTGTAGCCACAGTGATTTTGGGATTCCTATCAATGTTCAGGAGGAGTCAGGCATCGTCACATTTTGAAGCAGTGAACTCCGTGTGCCTCTCGAGGTGTCAACGGTATGTGAGGCATTCCGTCAAAATGAGGCATGGACCTAGGGCTTTCTCTAAGGTCTCCACAGGGGATTCAGACATTCCTTCCGGTTGTGAGATGAAAGACGAGCCTGTATTCAAGTCATAGCAAGGAAATCCGGCCTCCTTTGAAGTTAGGTCTTCTCGCTGTATATTCCACTTGAGGCAGCAAACTGGGGGTCCCTCCAACATTCCTATTGCTGAGAGAAGGCTCCCCTTCAGGTGCTTCTGGAAAGTTGGCATACGTCTTGAGCCTAAGCCAGGGAATCAGCTCTCATCTCGAGACGATTTTGGGTACACGGAGCATTCCTCGAGTTGCTGTGCTGAAGATGGTGTTCCTCTAGACTTGGGACAGTGTTCTCAGGGCATCTCTGGAGTTGCCTGAAGGAAGTCAAGCCACTGGTCGTGTTTAATGTGGAACGGGGGATGGCTCTGGAGTCAATGCAGGGGAATCGGGCATTATCTCGAGTTGATTTGGGGCACATGGTGCTGCCTTGCGTTGATGGGGTGACATCAGGATCCGTCTAGACATGTGACAGTGTTCTTGGTGACTGTCTCGAGATCCATTAAGCAAGTCGAAGCTTCTGACTTGTTTGATGGGGAGCACGGAATTGCTCTGCATGCACAGCAGGAGAATCGGGCCTCATCTCGCCTCTAGGGGAAAGTCTCATGGTTTTTCTCGACTTGCGGCTGGGACCTGGGGTATGTACTCGGGTTACGGCGGGGATGGCCCTTCAAAACACGTGTTTATTCAGTGGCGTCAGGACTCATGTCCAGTAACGAGGGACAGCTCAGGAATCTCTTCGAGGCTTGGCAGGGCAAAAGGGACGCTTCTCGAGGTGAGACAGGGCACCCAAGGAACCTTTCCAATAGCCACAGGGATTTTGGGATTCCTATCAATATTTTAGAGGAGTCAGGCATCGTCACCTTTTGAAGCAGTGAACTCCGCGTGCCTCTCTAGGTGACAAAGTGATGTGAGGCATTCCGTCAAAATGAGCCAGGGACCTATAGCTTTCTCTAAGGTCTCCACAGGGGATTCAGACGTCCCTTCATTCTGTGAGATGAAAGACGAGCCTGTATTCAAGCCACTGCAAGGAAATCCGGCCTCCTTTCAAGTTAGGGCTTCTCGCTGTATATTCCACTTGAGGCAGCAAACTGGGGGTCCCTCCAACATACCTATTGCTGAGAGAAGCCTCCTCTTGAGGTGCTTCTGGAAAGTTGGCATACGTCTTGAGCCTAAGCCAGGGATTCAGCTCTCATCTCGAGACGATTTGTGGTACACGGATCATTCCTCGAGTTGCTGTGCTGAAGTTGGTGTTCCTCTAGTCTTGGGAGA